CCCAGACGCCGGGGTCCCGACCTGCTTGAGAGACTCCAGCTCCTGGGCGAGGCGGGTGGCCGTGGCCTGGAGGTAGCCGCGGGACTCCTTCTCCTCGCTCACCCTGGTGGGGGGACGCAGGGGGAAGCTGAGCTGTCCGGGCTCCCAGCTCTCACCCCCCAGGCCCGCCCCCCTCCCAAGGCACAAGAAACCCCAGGGGTCCGGGCCCCCACTCACCACTGCAGGAGGTCATTGATCTGAGCCTCCCCCTGCGCCTGCAGCACCTGCAGCTCCTGCTCCAGCCGCCCCTTGGCCGCGCTCAGCGCCTCCAGCTGCGCTCGGAGCTGCACACGTGGGGCGCGGGTCAGGGGGGCCTAGACCCCCCCCGCCCAGGGCTGTGTGCATGGCGGGGAGCCCAGCCAGCCTGGCCCCAGCAGCTGCAGCCGGACCCCAGACCCCAGCCTGACCTCCTGACCCTATCCTAAACCCGGCAGCCCCTACCGCTCCCCAGGAACCAGCAATACAGCCCCCAGGGACTGCAGGCCTGATCTGAACCCTATTCCCAGTCTGACCCTTGACCCCAGACAGACCCAACTGTAGCCTGCCCCAAACCCCCAGGCTGCTCCCTGACCCCTAAGGCCACTCCGGCCCCAACCCCAGCCTGACTTCTGACCCTACACTGAGCCTAACCCCACCCCTGACCCTAGCTTGAGCCCAGCCTTATCACTGACCCGGCGCCCCCGCCCGCCCTAACCTTAGTGTGACCCCAGAGTGCCCCAGTCTGACCCTCAGCCTGACCCCTGCCCCTGCCCCTGCCCCGCTCTCACCTGCTGTGTCTCGGCGGCGCCGTCCCCCTGCTCCGCGGCCCCCCGGCCCCGCTCCGGTCCCTCCGACGTGCTGGGAACCCCAAAACAGGGGGTGGGGGCAGGACCCTCGCTAGGCCCCGCCCCCCCCACCAGAGACCAGTCTGGCCCCCCCTGGTGGGACTGGGAGGCTGCTCCTGCCCTTCCTTGTGCCATTACCCAGAAGCCTTTGCTGCTCACACCCATGCCCCATTACCCAGCAGCTTTTGCTGCTCTGGCCAACCCGCGTTAGCCAGCAGCCTTTGTTGCCACCCCTTTACCCAGAAGCCTTTGCTGCTCATGTCAACGCCCCGCTACCCAGCAGCCCCGGCTGCCCCTGCCAACCCTTGCAACCTCCCCCCGGGGGTCCTCACCTCTCTGCAGAAGCCTTTGCTGCTCACACCCATGCCCCATTACCCAGCAGCTTTTGCTGCTCTGGCCAACCCGCGTTAGCCAGCAGCCTTTGTTGCCACCCCTTTACCCAGAAGCCTTTGCTGCTCATGTCAACGCCCCGCTACCCAGCAGCCCCGGCTGCCCCTGCCAACCCTTGCAACCTCCCCCCGGGGGTCCTCACCTCTCTGTCCCGGCCGTGTCGTCCTGGCTCATCCCCTCGCACGCCGGCCCCTCGTGCGACACGGTGGCCCGGGCATGGAGAGGCTCTGGAGGGGCTCCGGGGGGGCCGTGCTGTGCCTGCCAGGGGGAGAAATGGGGTGGGGGGGGACAAGGGGGAAATCGCACAAGCCCTCGTGCGAGGGGAAGCCCCGCCCACTGGCG